GAAATAATGAAAGAGAACAGAATTAACAGGAAAACGATGTAGAAGTGAAGAGTGAAGTGAGTGAAGAGATAAGATAGTGAAATGTTGGTATGGTGGATGTGGATGGTTCTGAAGTTAAAATTGGGGTCAGAAATTTGTGAGAGGAAGGTGTGACGATATTGTATAAAAAGGGGTGTTTGAAGAACCACAAGATTATGTAGGAGTAAGGTGTTGACGTTTGTATAGGAAAATAAGGCAGAGAAAATAGGACAGTATTGTGAAGTGTGGACTATGAAAAAAGTTGACGATGTAAAGGTTGAAAGTCACGGTTGATAGATACATGGCGATTAACACAATTGGGGCTTTTTTGTTTTTCTTTGACTATTTCCAAGTCTTCATATAGGTCTAATTTTAGAAAATATTTTTTTTTTTTTTTTTTAGAAAATTTTAAATATTTTCCAATAACAGTTTGATGGTGTTAAATGAAATTTGCAACAAAAAATAATAATGTTCGGCTACACGAACTTGGCTGCATTTTGAACTTCTATTTTAAAATCAGAAATTATTCTCTTCGGTGTGAAATTTAAATTCAAATCTGTACATATTGCTATTAATGTATCAAAAGTACTTTTGTACGATTGCTGTGATTTATTTGTTAACAAACAAAATACTAAAGGAACATAAAAACCATTTTTGTAACCAAGATTTGTGAAACAACTAAAAATTGCGGATTTATTTTTCGTAGACAAACATTTTTCACCAGTATTTGTTTTTAAATTTAAGTTCACTAACACTTGTAGAACTTCTGCCTGTGATTTGGGCACTGATGGTGTGGATTTTCGTCTTGTAGCAAAGATATTTCTTCGAACGCAAGAAATGTCTTTCGTCGTCAGCGATAAATTCCTCAAATTTTCCTTCCACAATTCCTTGTTGACAATCTTTAAAGGTCTTTCACATACATCTTCTACAGCTTTCCCCTTTGTAGAATTACTAAAAATTTGCAGGTTAACGTGGATATCTGGGGCATGATTATGCTTCACTGATGCTTTTTCAAGAATAACGTAATTTGCGTCACCTTCCTTTGTGTAAACTTTTTGTTGACATCCTTTTTTGATGCATCGGCATCTAACTTTTCCATCTTTGGAGACAGGGGCTTTGGAATATTTATATTCATTAATTATTAATAAAAGTTCTCCCCTTTAACTAAAAATAGTTGTTGGATTCGTCATTTAAAAGTTAAACACTAACGGACAAAACTATACCGTAATATTTGCATTCTTCTTCTAGTTCCATGACCGATATCGATCGTTGGATATCATGTTGGCTACCATATTCGCTATCGTGACTTTATTGACAGCAGCTCTAAATAACCATGTAGTTGATTTTCCATACCATTGCCTTAGATTTTTCAGCCATGATGTTCTTCGTCTACCAGGACCACGATTACCTTGGATTTTTTTCTGAATGATCAGATGTAAAAGATGTAAACTTGCAACTGAAGTGAATAACTGTAAATATTTAGCAATATTCTTACTTTCAACTATAATCAAATTTAAAATTTCCGGTCATCAGGACCTAATCCCCAACTTTCTCGGCGGTGGGGCAGCAGATTCTTCTTCTTATGGTGCCCTATCCAATTAGTGGATGTTGGCGACAATTCTGGCATACTCCTCTCAATATTGTGTGGCTATAAAGAGTGCATGGGCATCGAGGTTTTAAATTGGCCTCATTTAGCATAATTAGAGCCGCTTCTTTGATTTTTCTTTTTTTACCATCCGTTTCTTTTAGGACTACATTTGAATTATTCCATTGAACCCTATGTTCATTATCCCATGCGTGTTTACATATTTGAGATCTATCAAATTCTCTATTTTTAATATAAAATTGATGGTCACTTATTCTAACATTTAATGGCCTTGATGTTTCACCTAAATAAAACATCGCATTTACAAGGTATTTTATAAATGCAATTCTTTGTCCTTTCTTGTTCATTGTTAGGTTTGGTTTTGGACATAATAGATCTCAACGTGTTTGTTGTTTTGAATGTTGTTGAAATGTTTATTTCCTATCCTTAAGTTTTTCTGATAATCCTTTTCTGTACGGTATTATTTTCCTCGTATTATTCCTTGTGTATGCTGTAGGATCTCGTTCTAAGTTGTTCTGTTCTATTCGATCGATTGTTGAAAATTCCTTATTTATAAACGATAAAGGATAATCATTTTTTAATAAAACACATGTTAACAAATGTTTCTCCTCCAAGAACGAATTTTCGTTAGAACAAGTAATTTTGGCTCTATCGTATAAGGATTTAATTATTCCCTTTTTTACGTATTTTTATCTTTAATTGTGGCTTATTCCCAGTTAAATTGTAATTAATTACTTATTACTTATTATATTCCTTATTCCCTTCGAATTGCAGGATGGCTTTCCAACAATCCCTTTCATTTTTTATTTTAAATTATTCCTGAACTGAAAGAATCATTTCTGCTTTGAAAAGTAAAATTATGGAATTTGTAATAAAGCTAACCGGTCGTGACAGCAACTTTAATGTGAAGCAAAAGTAAAACTGTCACCGTGGCGTCACAGTTTTTTATACTGCATTAAATTCCGTAGTTCGACTGACTCCCTACGATAGCATCTACCAAGATCTGCCATTCACTGGTCGAGCCACGGAGTGCCGGCTATTTACCATCGATCTCGTTATTCATCCGGCCACTTCCACCTTATATATGTAAATACGACGTTTCGCTTTTGTTATTTGCACACCTCTCTGCGGGATTCAGGGGCGCCTCGCGGGGATATCGTCTTCATCTTTGGCCTGACTAACGATATATTTAAACTTTGCGAATGGAAAACACCAAATCACAAGAGCAATGATATGAGAAAAATACAAAATGCATTTGATTTTGAACGCAAATGAAAACTCTAACTTCATATGTGAAGTTTAATATATTTTGATATAGATATGTATATTTTTAAATCCTTTCCATTTAATAGAATGTAAGATTTTCATGCTGAAAATGAAGAATGGAACTTTGGTCTTAAAGTACTCCTCAAACAGACACCAACAAAACACCACACTAGATACAACCAAAAAACAAAAATATTTTTATAATAAATGTACCTCTAATATTCAGGGTAGACACTGTTTAATTACTCTCCATTGGATTTTCACTCTAAACGGTTAGAAATACAATGAATTTAAATGGCACAAAAAGTTCATTTAGGCGTTGGTTTTAAATTTGTTTGTAACTTGTTCTTTTTTGGATGAGCTGCATGTTTTTAAAAAATTTAATCATAACACTTGTTGTATATATTTATACATATATATTCGGTTTTATAACGTCTTACGAGGTTATCCGACTCCCAAACGCCACTGATTTCTGTCTTGAGTTAGGTCTTCGTCCAGATTTCGAGCGCTAATCGCTTTCCTAACTCCCAGGTTTCAGATCTGTGGTGGTCTTCCTCGTTTCCTCTTCTCTGGGGGTTGCCACATCATCGTTTTTTTAGGAAATCTTTCGTCCCCCATTCGGCTCACATGCCCATACCATATGAGCTGTTTTCTCTCAATATCCTCAACTATAGTGCCCTCTATACCCATTTGTTGTTTTATCACTTCATTCCGTATTCTGTCGGCTCTTGATATTCTCATCGATCTTCTGATTGCATCCATTTCCGTAGCTTCGACCTTTTTCTTATATTTCTCGGTTATTCTCCATGTCTCAGCTCCATAAAGTAGGCTAGTTTTAACCATTGTCTCATAGATGTTCCATTTTCTTTTCTTTGATATTTTTTTCTTTCTTTGATATATTTATACAAAAATTCAAAAAGTTTGCAATTAAAAAATAAAGAATTATTTATGTATGTGGACTTATTGTCACTTAAATCAACTCGGATGGCTCTTAACTTAAAATATATTTAAAGATTTTATAACATAAACATTTCATAACGGGCCAGTCCAACGAGTTGTCAAATTAAATCCAATATGGTGTCTGGAGGGCAAACAAACTATTCAGGCATATTGAAAGTTAATATTGTTTTCGGGTGTTTTCAATTAATTATATAAATTGTGAGTTACTTTATAAATTCAGTAATTGAAAAACTGACGAAAATGTATAGGCTTAAAACTTTTTCAAAAAAACTTCTGTTGTAAAACTGAAAGATTAGTTGAAAAGGTTTGTTTACATAGTCTACATAGTTTACATAGAGTTTGAAGTACTGTATATTGCATTTTTTATTTAAGACTAATTTTGTAACATTTTGAACCACTCACATTATTGCTAACGGTATCATCATTATAGTTGTTGCATTCTCACGAAAGTTAGTGGTAATCATGACAACTGGTGGTTTATTAACAGCTACTCGAAATAAATTTCATTACTATTGACTTCTGATGACCTTCAAACAATGTGATAGCACTTCCTACCCTTATGCACAAAGAGTTAAAAAAAGATAAGATAATATTTTAAAACATATAAGAGCCTACTCTCTTTATTTCAATATCATCTTCTTTGTTTTTATACCTATTTATATTATCAATTTATACCTATTTCTTAATTAAATATTACATTAATTTTAATTTTCTAAATTGTATAGTTCACATTCTATAATTGTGAAAGATCGATTAGTAGCTTAATTACATTTTGTTCAACTTTCTAGAAACTATTGCCTAATATTATTGAGCAAATGCCTGTAATCAATTGCTCGGTTTAAATCATATTTAGGTCGTTTAAATCATAAAAGTAGAAAGGCTTTTGTTCTGTTCAAAGGCAATACACATTTGATAAATTGTAGCATTTTAGTGAGATTATAAATATTTTAAAAAAAGTATGTTTTACTCCACAACTTCAACATTTTATACTATCATCGTCGATCGAGAAGAGTCGAACGACGATAGTAGATATGCCCTAATTGTATTAATCTATGTTCCTAATCGCAGTAATTTTTTAATTGTAGACTAGACTAAATCTAGACTTCTTTTTAACTATCCAACTTTTAACTTTATTTTTATTTTTTTGCAGGGTAATCCATATGCGTTGAAGGATGCGGGAGGAGCAGCAGATATGTCGGCGTGGACGAGTGCTGGTCTTCAACCTACGACAGGGTATTATCCATATGATCCAACGTTGGCAGCATACGGGTAAGTTTTCAATTTGCATTTAATTAGTTTGATAATGAGAATACTCGACATTTACTTTGTTACTCTAATCGACCTGAATTAAATATAGTCTTGTAACATTCAGTAATCCTAAGCACTAGGCAATAGATTCAGGACACCTATACGCTTCTAAAAGGTGTAGATGAAATCTCAGTCGTTGAAGATGCGGAATTGCAACGGAAGTAAGAAACACGCAAAAGATATAAACAAAAAGTGAAAACGAAAATAAACGAACAAGAATTTACAAAAAAATTGACAATACTCTGTGCTTACGTATTGTTTGAAAACTTAACGTAAGTCTAGTCGCTTTACAGGTCATCAGCAATTTCAATTTCTTAAATTGATTGAATTATTTTTTGTGGTAAGGATTATTTTCCATAGGAATGTTGTTACTCAGGATAATCAAGCGCCAAGAAAGGGTTTGCGACTTTTTAAGGGTTTGCGATAAAGATATCCTGTAAGTATACACAATAAGATACCTGACAGGCGAGGAAAACTGGAAATAAAAATATAAGAGATAAAACAAATAAAAGATAAATTACTCAATTAAAGAGGTTCTAATTCGACCATCAAAGATGTTAGCTGCCGATACTCGACCTAACTTATACTAATATATATATATATATATATATATATATATATATATATATATATATATATATATATATATATCTTTGAGGGTATACAAGGCAACTATCGAACACGGTGATTAATTTAATCTTGCCCAAGCGCTTTCGATCAATAGATCATCTTCAGGGGCATTTCGTCAATTGTGGACTATCCGACATACTAGAATGTCATAAAAGTAAAAACTGGACATAACAATACAAAATACACTACACTAAGACAAACAAACACTTTAAAATTTATATGGCGAAGCTACATATTGTGAAGAAGCCGGAGACAGAATGAACATATGGCTTCTTCACAATATGTAGCTTCGCCATATAAATTTTAAAGTGTTTGTTTGTCTTAGTGTAGTGTATTTTGTATTGTTATGTCCAGTTTTTACTTTTATGACATTCTAGTATGTCGGATAGTCCACAATTGACGAAATGCCCCTGAAGATGATCTATTTTTAGAATGTCGAGTTAGGATGTTAGGATGGAAAGGAAGTAATTCTTTGAATTGTCGGCAATAACTAAATTTTTGATTGTTATAAAGTTTGAATGTGAGGTTCGGTTTTCATAGAACGCAAGCGCTGACAATTACAAGTAGTGCATTTGAATATTTATGTCGTTAAGGTTCATTAGTAAAACCGATGAAGTTAGATCCCAGTCTGAGGAGATATTAGTTTAGAATTTTCTTAGTTGAAATTCTTTTTTAAATTGTATATTGTTCATGTATTATTATAATAATATCTTATTGAGATGTATCTAAGAAAAGCAAGGGAATGTTATCTTTTTTAGTTAATAAAAATTATTATTAAAGTAGGTTAGTTGTTAATAGATATATCAGTCAAGTTAGTGTGATCTGTGATGTTGTATTGTTCTTGGTATCTGATTTAAGTACGAAGTGGTATGTATCGCTTAGGTTCTTAATGTCACTCTTAACATTGATGGAAAAATCGTTAAAGAAAATATAAGACATTTCAATGAACTCTCTTTTAGATTTATTGTTCTCACGGTGGAGAATTGTAGTGTTCGTATAGTCCATGTGATGACCAGTGGAATGAACATGTTTGGCTAATGCGCAGCGGTCAGGGTGAAGTCGAGAATCACTTTTGTGTAGGGTAATACGGGATTTCAATAATTGAGATGTTTGGCCGATGTAGGAATTGTTGCAAGAGAGTCATGGAATGTTGTAGACAATATTACTAAGCCTATCTATGGGAGTCTTATCTTTTATCTTCGAATAAAGATTATTAATTGTTAGGGCTGATCTACAAGCCACATTAAGTTTAATGCTATTATTATTATTCCCAAAGCTATTTTCAACACTTTTTAGAATCCTTGTTAACCCCTGAGTGATATCTCTGAAATAGGGTAATGAAAAATATTTATTGATAGGAGTATCCGAGACTGGGTTCCCACTTAAGACATCAGGATCAGCATTGTTAGTCACGATGGAAGGTGAAGTATCTTCTTTATGGATAGTGTTAAACAAAATCTTATTTACTAATGGTGTTGGATAAGAGTTTGAAATAAAAAGTTTCTGAATGATTTGTAGGTTTTTTGTATGAAATGAAAGATCTGATAGTTTAATTAATCTATTTTTCATCTGTTTGATTAAGTTGACTTTGTCATAATAACATAATAACTCTACCAAAGCATAAGAAAAATAGAATTGGGCAGGGCATGTAGGGAGAATGCATGACTCACGGCGGACAAAATTATAAATTGGATGCCAAGAGCAGGCAAACGTAGTAGAAGAAAACCACCTAACGTTGGGCTGATGACATCAGGCGTATCACCAAAAATTGGCAACAAAGAGCAGAAAATCGTAAAGAATGGAGGAGTTGGAGGGATGCCTAGGACCAGCAGTGGACGTGATAAATAAAGGCTGGATGATGATGATTTAATCAATACCTATATCAAGTTATAGTGTCTTTAAATACATTAAATTTCTATAAAATATAAATGTGAGGAAACAAATTAATTTAAGAAGTCAAAGAACTTCAAATTGCTAATTAATACACTTTTGTATTAACCCAATTCACTATCTACAGGTTTATTATTTTTATTATTTATTTTTTTTTTGAACCACACAATCACAGAAAAATGAGAGGAAAATTTGTCACATCAATGATTGTAACACAATAATTAATCTAGTAAAATAAGACTGGGAATAAAACCATGTCTTTAGATATGATTTTACCAAAAAAATTCTGTTTTACAAAGGTATATTTATTGTCAGTTATGTACGATTCCATGCAATTTTCCCAGGATTTATTTCAGCATTTACGTAGTGTTCCCCATCATTGGTCGCAACAATTGAAAACGTGTAATGTCGTGACCAGTTTGTCACAGCGTTATTGTCAGAATGATTTTGTCGAACAACGAGCGTGTTATACCTTGCATGATGATACCTTGTGCGCGTCCACATTTCTTTATTCCGCACTGAAAATACACGAAAGATCTGAAACGACGATATCGTGTAGATAGATCAGGCGGACATGCTAGTTGTTGTGGTTTTATGTAATGTCCTCTTCCTGTTTGGTTCGCCATCATTGTCGCGTTCGTAAGGCCAGTGCATTCTCAGACGTTGCGCGTTGTCTGATTATATGTATACATTTTAAGTTCAATATAAATAATTTTTAACACGCTCACTGCTGACAATGGAGTATAACAAAAGTAATCAATGTCTCAAATTATTCTTTCTAAGTCTTATAAGTTGTCGGCTATTATGACTGTATCGTAGGCATACCTAATGTTGTTAATTCTTCCATTCACTTTTATGCCGACTGTCTCGTTTACCAAAGATTCTTGTATGATTTCTTCAGAATAAGTATTAAACAATAACAGCGACAGTATGCAACCTTCTTCTTCTTCTTTTTGTGCCACTCCTATCGGAGATTGGAAATCATCAAGGCTATTCTGACCTTGTTTACGGCTGACCTAAAGAATTCATTAGTGGTGCAGCCAAACCACTCTCTCAAATTCCGCAACCTTGACATTCTTCTGCGGCCTGGATTCCGTTTTCCTTCTATTTTTCCCTGCATTATATTTTGAAGTAATGCGTATTTATGTCCTCTCATCAGGTGACCAAAATATTCGAGTTTTCTTCGCTTTAGCGTTAACAAAATCTCTGGGTCTTTTCCTATTCTTCGTATTACTTCACATGTTGTTCTGTTTGAGAGTCCAGGCCTCTACGCGTGTTAAATACATAGCCTCTCAGCATTCTTAATCGTAGAGGGGTGCTTATATTTCTGTTGCAGAAGAATTTTCTCATCTTTATGAAGGTGGCCCTTTCAATTTCGATACGTCTTTTTATTTCACTGTTTTGGTCTCCAGTTTCGTTTATTAAAGTTCCCAAGTATTTGTAACTTGTTCAACTTGAGTGCCGTTTATACTAATATATGCTGGTTGTGTCATGTTTTTACTGAAGACCATATGCAACCTTGCCTGACCCTTATCTTTATCTCCACTTCTTATGACACTTCCCTTCCAATTTTCACATTTGATCGTTGGCTGTAGTAGTATAAATTTGATATCAATGTTACATCCCTCACATCCAGATTCTTGTTTTTGAGTACTTCTATAAGTCGGTCATGTTTTACCTTATCGAATGACTTGTTGTAGTCTATAAAGCATACATAAAGATCTCGATTAACATCCAAACATCTTTGGGTCAGGACGGTAAAAGAGAATAGTGCCTCTTTTCATAACTTCTTACTTTGTTAATTTCGGGACCCTCGTCTTTACCCTGATTATCTTTATATATATATATATATATATATATATATATATATATATATATTCCTGTCTCTGGTCATGGAATAATTCCTCTATATATTCTTTCCATTTTCCTAATTTTTGTTCCGTCTCCACTAAAATGTTTCCCTGTTTGTCCAACCGTATGCTTGAGGTTTGTTGTTTTGCTACCTCAGCTAATTATTTATCTTTTTTATGGAGATTGAAGTTATCATATTTGTTTTTTGTAAGTCTTCTATTTCTTGGCATTTTCCAGCTAAATAAGTATCTTTAGCTTCTCTTATTTTCCTTCTTATTTGATTATGCAGCTGTTGATACTGAGTTATGTTGACATTCTTTTGCCTTCTTTTGCCCCCCATCATTTCCAAGATTTCTTCTATCATCCAATCAACCTTTCACTGCAACTTGGTTCGATAATTGCATTGTTAAAGAATTGCCAGTGTTGTTCTACATCACCATCAATTGATTCCGGTGTGAATTCTAGGTTTGCATTAATTCTTGTTTCAGTTTTTCTTTGACGAGCTACATATCGAAGTATAATAACCCTTAGATTAATAGTAAAACGTATTAAATGTTGAAAAATTGATACCACGAGGTCGATGTTGTAGC